CTGCTGATGGCACAATGTTGAGCAAGACAGGTAATATGTAACAGCTCCGGTTTCTGATTGAGTTTAATCTCCTGTGTAAATTTAGCTATGTCGGAAGCAGAATCTGTGTTAGTTGTGGCCACATTTCCCCAAGTTAACTGGTACATCTCAAACATCTCAGTTATTGTTGTGTCGACAAAACCAGTGTCAGCAGAGGGGATGAATGTCACCTCAGCACAAAACAATGCAGATTTATTCACTTTGAAATCAAAAAACAAAAACAAAAGGCCAAGAATCGAATGGTCGAAAGCATCAGGAGACTAATCAAAAATCAGACTAGACATCACATTTCCAGCAATTCATTCCATCATTTTAGCTACTAAAGCATCATCATTTTCTTTCAGATACTTACGAGTGAAGTTGTCCACATTAGGGAGGGTTTTTGCTGCTGGACACTATTGTTGCACAAAGTCACCAATAGGCCCCCCAGCAATTAACAGTGGTTGTCCAGCAAAACAAAGATCACACACACATTCATGGCTATATTCTCTCTTTCATTAAAGCCCTGGTGAAAGCTCCTGATACTGACTGTTTATCCCAAAGCTCACTTTCTTCTTTAAGCTTCTTGTGTTGCTTGCTTTTTATTCTGTCAGCGTGCGTACTGACCTCAATGCTGCTGTACTTGCAATGCAATGCATCCTTTTCACTCCTGTCTTTATGTGTCTTGAAAAGTTCTAAGGACTGATTTTCTTGTTGGTATTCAGGCATAGATTTGTGTTTTCGCCCCATGTTTACCTTTTTACCTTATCTTTATCTGTGGAGGATTGATTAAATTCAGTGCCACACTAAACAGATGCAAAGAAATAGGCAGGCAGTATCTCCTTGTGAGCCAATCATATCATGATATTCACATTGTTTGATTTTTCTGACCTCTGATGTGTGTGTGTGTTCTGTATTTTACACTGCGAGACTGCTTCAATCTCAGAGCTTCAGGACACAACAATCACGTAAAGCGTTAATGTTTAAATAAGTACCCCAAAAATATTGAATGGCTTGATAAATGGGTGTAAATCAGTAAAATCTGAACTCCTTTAATTAAAAAACCTGGTAATTTATCAGTGAACATCAGTAAAAACTGAAAACACAGAACACTACTTTTAAGTCAAAGCTTCTGGGGTGGTTCCCCCCAAAATTGGGAGTTCCTGCTCCCTGGAGAATGGTGAGACTGGTTCTCAGGTTCAGGAAACACCCCTCTTTGGAGCCTGGCTCCCCACTGCTGACTTCCTGCATTATGGTCACTAGTGCCAAAGAAACGTGCTCTGGGTGTCCAAAACTGCATAGGCTCTAGTTTCTAGAGAGCTCTGGGCTTGGCCAGCTAGAGGATTGTTGTCTTAGGCTCTGCAGAGCAGGGAGAAGGAGAAGATTGGTAGAGTGGCCTGTCAGTGTCTTCAGTTTATGCAAATGAAAAGGGATGACTACTTTGAGCAGCTTTGCTTTGCTAGGGAACCTACAGAAGGGGGCTATGGAGGGCAGAGTTGAGAGCTAGGATCTGTTCACGTGGGGCTTCTCATAGTGCTCTCTCTCTTGTGAAGGCCAAATTGTAGCAACCACCAGTTAGTGAGCAATGCACCAGAATGGTCTGTGACTGGCAGGGGGTGTTTGTTAAGGCTATGCTTTCAGGGGGGTTATTTCTCTAGTTGCTGAGTGGAGAAAAATAGCTATAAAAGGTTGGTTTTGTTAACCTTGATATGGCCTTGTGGTGTTTCCTTCTGAGCATAAGAATGGTAGAAAGCACTGTTGTGTGATAGTTGTTTTCTACTGTAGAAGGGTGTTTTCTTCTTCCTCAGAAGAGCAGGAGAAAAGAACACAGTCTGACTGGTTATCTTTAAGTGTGCTCTACTGGCTGATGAAAAAGTGTTTGGGTGTGATGGCTGGGAGCTGTGCTGCTTGGGAGTTTGGTGTTCTGAGCCTCCAGTGGTGAGATGCTCTGTCTGTTTTTCTTTTGCTTGTTTTGCATTATCTTCATAGCTATTTCTGTCCTTCCACTAAGTCTGACAGTTCCTGTCTCCATGGTACTTGTTGATTGTTCTCCACACTAGGATGAATTTATAATGCTTCCCTGCGAACACTACTGGAGCCACTGATGCTTGGGACTATTTTGTCCGTTTCCTCCTGGCAATTTGGATATCAGAGGGTAGCAGCCAGCATTCCCATCATTTACTCTCTCTGAGGAGCCAAGAACACGTCACCAACTCTAGATTACACACTGCCGAGCAACTTCCATCTAGACAAATAGCGATTAGACATTTTGATGGGGTTTATCTGGACTCTGGTCTGGTTCAAAGGCAAGCCTATGTCTATATATCCTTGCTTTTTTGGAGCAGTTCCCCGGGGTGGGAGGGTTTCCATGCCTCATCACACATCTGCCCATCATGTCCAGCTACTTTGGCTGTGTGAGGGCAGAGGGATGTTGCCCTAAAACCTGAATATGCAACATGCATGCCCAGCTGTTGCTCGATGAGTTGGTGCAGTAGCAGTCTCCAAAAGGCACACAGTGCCAACTTTTCCAAACACTGACCTTAATGTGGGTCATTCCTCAGCGATTCGGAATTAAAGGAAAAATGGCCAGCACTTGGCAGGAGCAGGCTGAGGTATTAGTTAATTAAATTCCTTGTAGTTTTTCCTTTCATAATAATGCTAAATCCAGGGATAAGTTGCTTGGCAACAGCTCTGGCTACTACTATTCTTCCAACCCTTGCTTTTAGGCTTGAGATTAAACGTACTTGAGTATGTAAATCACCAGCTGAGGCCTGGCGGATTTTATGTATTTCTTAGAAAAGAGCCAAACATTAATTGATAATACAATGCGCTTTCATTTACGTTTGAATAATAAAGCAGTGCGATCACTGTTCAGAACTCAGCCCTCAGCCAGCTCCATCTATTATTCATGGTTTCAAAATGTAATAAAGATACGTACTTAATATCTGTTTTCCAATTAAAGTTTATGGCTGGAGGTTGATGATGGCTGTATTTTTGGCAGTTCTTTTTAATTTTCTTCAAATGCTTCCCTGGGAATTCCAGAGGCAGTTTCAAACATAAAGACGTTGGGTGTTTTAAAAAAAGTGATGATGTATTTTGTGGCCGAAATGGTATATATGAACATATGTGGAAATTGTCATCTATGGTGGCTAAAGGTAGGCACTTAAATAGATATCTGGGCACTTGAGCCAAAGTAGCTTGGCTTTCCAGTGGTCCTGAGCAGCCACATTTCCCACTGACGCTGACGGGAATTGGATGCACCTTAGATAAGTAGCTTAATTTTTCAGATGGTTAGCATCTGGGGCTCACAATGTGACTCGTGAAAAATACTAATATCATTCTGGGCTGTATTGACAGGAGTGTTGTATCTTAGACATAGGCAGTAATTGTCCTGCTCTACTCATCACTGGTGAGGCCTCAGCTGGAGTACTGTATCCAATTCTGGGTGCCATACTTAAGGAAAGATGTAGACAAATTGAAGACAGAGGAGAGCAACAAAAATGACAAAAGGTTTAGAAAACCTGACCTATAAGGAAAGGCTCAGTGTTCGGTCTTGAGAAAAGACAACTAGGAGACGACTTGATAACAATCTTCAAATATGTTAAGTGTTATAAAGAAAACCGAGATCAATTTCCATGCCCAGTGAAGGTAGGACAAGAAGTAATGGGCTTAATCTTTAGCAGGGGAGACTTAGGTTAGATATTAGGAAAAACTTTCTAACTATAAGAGTAGTTAAGTTTTGGAACAGGCTTCCAAGGGAGGTCGTGAAAACCCCATCACTGGAGGTTTTTAAGAACAGGTTGGACATTCACCTCGCAGGGAAGATCTAGCCTTTCCTGGTCCTGCCTCAGTGCAGGGGACTGGGCTTGATGACTTCTCAAGGTCCCTTCCAGTCCTACATTTCTATGAAGCATTGGTGCCCTCAGTGCGTATAGACTGGGGCTCTCAAGGGTTCTGTTGCCTGGTGTTCCAGGGGGTTGGACTAGATGATCTCCTGAGGTCCCTTCCAACCCTAATATTCTATGATCTATGATCTATGATCTATGATCAGGCCATTCATGGCTCTTCACAGCATTGCAGCCTGCTACGCTAAAGGAAAAGAGGCTGCAGTGCTTCTGGAAAAAGGAAGGTAGTTGGGGAAGTGAACAGTGGAATGTAGAAGGGGTATTGAATGATTTAACTGCTTGTTTCCTGATTGGCATTGGTGGACTATGCTGCCTCACAACCGTAGGGCCTGATCCAAAGCCCGCTGACATCAATGAAAAGCCCTTAATTTGTAAGCACTCCAGGGCAGGAATAGTCTTTACTTGTTCCCATGGACTCAACAGCAACAAATTATATGTGTGGGGGCTTATCTGTGATAGTTCAGCCCTGCTGGTTAGAAGCTAGTAACACAGACTGAACACTGCAATTATTTTTTTTGCCCTCTTTTATTCCAATTACACCCTACACAGTCTTGAATCTTTTTTTTTTTAAATTGCAATGTCGGTTTTTCTAGAGAAGGACGTTCAATGAGGTTCTTAAAAGGAGTTTAACATGAGGGTAGTGTCTCATAACCCCCCTATGAGTTAACTGGAAATGGAGGAATGTATTAACATTTTTATTGACTGCATTTCCCCCTCAATCAAACTGACTGTCGTTCCTTCTTCTCCAAGCATTTAGAAATAAAAGGGGAGGCAATTAAAAAGAGCCCTGGCTGAATGCAGCTCCACAGGGGACTATATCCTAAGCCGCTAGCCCTGTATACAGCTGTAGTAGCACAGCCTGGATCACAGCTCCAGGTAATGGGAAGAGAGCAGGCTTGTGGAACCAATGCTTGGGCTGCACCAGTCCCTGAGTGCCTGCCAGCAGAGTTGAGAGCTAGGATCTGTTCACGTGGGGCTTCTCATAGTGCTCTCTCTCTTGTGAAGGCCGAATTGTAGCAACCACCAGTTAGTGAGCAATGCACCAGAATGGTCTGTGACTGGCAGGGGGTGTTTGTTAAGGCTATGCTTTCAGGGGGAGGGGTCATTTCTGTAGTTGCTGAGTGGAGAAAAATAGCTATAAAAGGTTGGTTTTGCTAACCCTGATATGGCCTTGTGGTGTTTCCTTCTGAGCATAAGAATGGTAGAAAGCACTGTTGTGTGATAGTTGTTTTCTACTGTAGAAGAGTGTTTTCTTCTTCCTCAGAAGAGCAGAAGAACACAGCTGCATGAACAGGGGAAAGCATGCTGCACCCTTTTAAAGGATGTAGCAATTGACTTCCCGCTCCCCTACAGCACAGCAATAGTGCGCCAGAAACACGGTGTCTCTGAGGCCCACTGCCTCCTAGTGCTTCCCATAGCAAACCATGCACATAGGCACACTCTCCCTATGTGTGCCATGCCCCTTACTCAGGGCTATGCTTGGACTCAATCTATCCTTAGCGTTACTGACTTGACTTCTGTGCCATATCCTGTGAGCAGAGCTTGTGCATCAATGGAGCTTGTGCAGACTGTTCAGGGCAGGGGCTAGTAATCTGTCATTTGGGTTGCAAGTCTGGAGAGGAAGTGGTAGGTGGCTTTAAGTCACCTTTGCTATCCCGACACCAGGCTAGTTTCTGGCATAGGTTAGAGCCTGTTCTACTCAACCTTACAGCCTTTAGGGTCCATGAAGGCAGCTGGGCACATGGAAACCCCATCCACAGCCCTGCTTCCTTGGTCATGCAGTCCTCTAGTAGAGGGGATGGCTCTGAAGCCACTACAGTAGCTGTATGCCACCAGAGGAGGCAGGGGAAAACTCCAGTGGCTAGTTAATCTGTTTAGGGGTGCTTCCCTCGACCTGTGGAACAGGGCAAAAAAGTCCTAATGTCCCAGGGTATCAGGTCACTTGTCTTTATCTGCACTTTGTTTTGGGCCTAGCAAGGTTTTGCATCTTTAATATTAATAATGAACAATGTTGCAGCAGCCTAACTTGCCCCACTCTACAAACTGACTTCCAGAATCCAAGATCAGCAAGTGTCAGAATCTCCAGCAGTGCCCCGCCTCAGAGCCCAGTAGGATGGCCCCCAGGGTAGGGAGTTATCGAGAGGAAGGCGTAATGTTATTCCCATGCTTTACAAACCTCCTAGATACTTTAAAATTCATGTTTCTGTTACAGAACAGCTGAGTTTTAGATTTGCCTATTCTATTCCCCTTTTCTCTCTATGCAGATGCCACCAGCCTCCTGGTTCCTTTTGCTCAATTTCTCCAATTTCTGCATAAGCCCTTTAATAACATTCTTTGAGGTTTCAGTGCTTCTTCCCTTATTAGTACTTTCAAATCCCAAATTTAATCTGTTAGATAGTTCATTTCATTTGCAAGCACACTCATCCTTTTTGTCTCTCTCCTCAACCTGGTCTTTATGCTTTGAGCTTTCCTTTCTTCTCTTCAATACTGCTGTGTAGCTGGCATTCCCCCATGAGCTCTTTCTCATGAGTCTATTGTTTCTGCAAGAACATTGTTTGGATGAAATCTGCCCCATCTGTATAGGCTTTATGTACCCCAAAATGACATTAATATGCCACAAAAGTAAACGCCTCTCTTTATATCAGTTCTCCATCCATACATTCAAGTTACTATTGCGTCTTGGCCTTGTTTTCTCCTGAACAAGTCATAGGTAATAATGAAGAGGAACAATTACAAAGGTTGTCCTGACCCTTGTTCCCTATGCTTTACATTTGCTTCCTGTAATTCCTGGTCAGAAATAGCTCAGTTCTGATAACCTTCTAGGCACACCGCAAGACATGTTGTCTTAGGAGAGCTGCTAAAAAGAAAGCAAATATTGTTGCAGGTGATGTTTAAAGAAAAAAAGCGGGGGAATTCGGTGTATTTTTGTGCTACTCGGTTATTGCTGTATTTTAATACCCTAAAGAGTTGCTGCTGCATTTTTTGATTTGTTGGGCCTTATTCTCATTTGCTGTAAGAAGGCCACTACTTTACACCACTCTGGCAGGGTCTTTGTGTGAATGAAATTCTAGCCCATTGTGGTTTTAAAGTATGTATCAGAGGCCTTGCATGTTCAGTTAGGAGCTTCTTGTTACTGCTATGTTACAAATCTAAAGAATAAATTCACTTATTTTTTAAATGTAGAAAACTTATAAACACCTCTTCCTCCTCATCTATTTGTTTAATCAACATGGAGAATGGAATAAAGAAGAAAAGGGAATTTGGGAAAATATTTTTGCATTCAGGAAGAGATTAGAAGAGAGCAAATGCAAAAGAGAAGAGGATTCAATTGGGTTTAATATGTAACACAATCACATGCTGAAACCCTTGCTTATCCCACTGCAGATGAGACTGTTTATTTTAGAGGGGAAACAGGTTAGAGAGGACATAAGGGTACACAGGATGTTCAGAACAGTGACTGGAATATAGTAGATCTGGGACTTCAATTCACTTTCTTTTATTAGGGGAACAAAGGGACAGCCAATACAAATGAAAGGCAGCAAATTTAAAACTAATAAGATATTTTTTCTTTCAATCCACAATTAGCCTGTGGAACATATTGCCATGAAATAATGATGAGACCAAGAGCGTAGCAGGATTCAGGGAACCAGGCATTTATATGGATAGCGAAAACAGACAGACTTAAAGCAGTAAGACTTTTTTTTTTAAATGGGAGGGCATATAAACTTCAGGTTTCAGGGGACAAGCCAACCTCTGAGTCAGTGGTTCTCAAAGTTTTCCATTCTGGGAAGCGCCTCTTAGTCACCCTACCATTTAGCAATATGGTGGGGAGGGAGTGTGATTGCAATCCCCAACACCTGTTTATGACCCCCCAGGCTAGGAAAAAACTTTCCCTTTGAGGAGTGTATGAAGCATCAGCTTTTATATTTATACATGTCAAGAGTCTGCTTTCAATGAGGCAGCTTTACATTCCATCCTCTGCACTGCACCATCATATTATTTAAGATCTCTGCTGCAGCTTTAGGTTGTTCCTTCACTGAGTTTTAAACCTCTGCTGTCCAGTGGCTCTGTGTTGTAAAGTGAGGGATTCAGTGTGTCGTTCTTGTCTCTGCATACAGATGCTTAAAGTATTCAAAGTCAGTACGAAAGGTTCAGCAGTAAGGCTGAAAGATATGTTACCAGAATAAATGGTACAGCCATGCAGGGAATGAGATACATCTGACTGACAGATGATATGTTATTTCATATATATATATGAAAAAAATGCTCAGCAATCATAGATTATTTGTCTGCAATTTTTCCATCATTTCTCACAAGTAATTGTTAGCATTATTTGACATCCATCTTCCAATTTGCTGCAGTGATGGACTCCAGCCTGCCAAGCAGAGGGATGAAATCCTGCTTATCTCTGTTTTCTTATCTTCCCTCTAAATAAAACCCTGCTACATACAAGTGTCTTGGACAGAGAACTACTTGTTATACCAAGTCACTTCCTGGTCTTTCAGCATTCAATTTCTTGATGTACCCCAACACTCAAGTTTTTCTTGTGTTCTGTCAAGCAATGGAGATGAAGGCAACACACCATGACTTGCTTACTGGCTCATGCTTCATATTTAATTGTTTAAATTGTTCATTGTGTGCTATATTTAGTTCCTAACTATTTATCAAAACTGAGTTTCAGTTGGTTAATCTATAAAAAATCGGGGGGAGGGGGGGTGTTGTGGCTGGGTGAACCTGAAAAGATTCTGAGGTACTTATCTGGACCAGGGCCAGCTCTAGCTTTTTTGCCGCCCCAAGCAAAAAATAATATATATATATATAAAAAGGGCGGCCGGACTGCCGAAGCAAAAAAAAAAGAGAAAGAAAAAACGGCAGCCGCAGGGAGCGCGAGGAGGGTGGTCAAGGCGGCTTGCAGGGGGGTGAAGGGCGCCAGGGCGGCGCCTCGCAGCCAGGCAAGAGGGGCTCCCCCCTCCGGCCTTGGGGTGCTTCTCCCGGCAGGGCAGGCGGAGCCCCCGGGGGCTGCAGGAGGTGCTGGCTCAGCCGCTCCTTTAAAGGCGGCTCAGCTGGGCCGGGCTCAGAGCGGCACGGGAGGCGGAGGCCGGTGCAGGCGGCGGGGAGTGGCTCATCCCGGGGAGCCCGGCGGCACGGTGAGTGGTGGGGATCGCTAGTTCCTGCCCTCCCCCCCCCCCGGGCCGGGGTCCGTGCCCCTGCAGGGCTGCGCTGGGACTGGCGGAGCGTGGGGAGCCAGCCGGGGGCACCGGGCTGCCAAAGCAAAAAAAAAAAAGAACCACGGCAGGGTGGCCGGAATGTGCCGCCCCGAGATTGGCCGGAATGCCGCCCCTTACCATGTGCCGCCCCAGGCACGTGCTTTCTCGTCTGGTGCCTGGAGCCGGCCCTGATCTGGACTTATTTATCCAAGTCATTTTGTTTTGGAGATTGGGATGGAAGACTGTTGTATCTAATACTAGCTGAATACAGCTATAGTTCGTAAATTCAGTATATACTTAAGAACACTGGAAGGGGTTTAGGAAATAAGGCAGGATGTTCTCAGATACAGCAATGAAGGCCATAAATACCTAGGCAAGTAGATAGAAAGAGAAGAAAGAGTGAAACAAAAGTTAAATCTCTTGCCTTCTATGGTTTATTTGAATAAAGAATCCAGTTTAATGTTGCTCACTGCTTGACTACTACAGTCAAAATTATAACAAGATTTCCTAATCTCACTAAAAGCCTGATCTTTCCAGCACTTCCTGGTTCTGACTAGGTTAGACACAGCCTCACAAAAAAGTCTTCCTATTACAACCACGAAGGAAATAAATAAATAAAAATGAACCAAACTGTTTTGAACCCCAAAAAATAAGCAGGGATTTGGTTGTGTTCATTTCTGGAGAATGGCTGACTGATTTTAACTCTGTCCAAACTGGCTGACCCATGCACATTGTGGTTATGTGCAGAGAGCTGACTAACAAGAACTAGTGACTACCTGTGGTGGGTTGCACTCATCTCTTGAGCACCCCTGTGCCATCCAGTCTTGGTGCTGCCATTCTCTTTGGCTACCAGCACCTCCTGCAAGTTGTCAGCTGGCCTCTGGGGTCTGTGACTCAGCCAAACAACTGGGTCACATACTCCAAAAGCCATTCCAGGGTATAACAAACTCAAAGAAAAAAAATTAGAAACAGTTCCTTGCCCTTCAGGGCCAATTATAAACAAGATAGGCTCTTCCCCTTTCTGTGTTAAATTCCCTCTCTGGGATTGAATCAGCAGGGTTCCTTCTTAATCCTTGCCACCAATAGTGG